TTCAGGTTCAGTGTGGCATCCACACCAAGGTGCTCCCCGCTAATGGCTGTACACAGCAGGTATCCTAGATCAGGGCCATATCTAACTCCAGACTCAGCAGTCTTTATACAGGCTGCCAGCACACTGCCATCTGAGACACTTCTGCCCAACCGCCAGTCACCCTTCCCTCTGCTTCACAGGTTTCACACCTGAGTCCACTACAGGCTCTGGCCCCCAAACTGCCTTCCTCTCTGCTTTATCCTTCACAAGCACACCCCCAAATGAATCACTGGCATATCTAATTTTATCTCGGCATCTGCTTCTCAGAGGATACAAACAATCACAGAAATAATAAACATTTTTAAACTGCATGAGTTTAAAACAGTAATACAAATCAATTTCAAAGTAATGAAAAAAGAGGAAGGAGGATGGCTAGACTTTAGCTGCACCTGAAGCAAATATGGCCTAATGGCAACAGTGATTAAGCACAGTGGACAGTACTATTCTATTGGAATGTTTTGCCTTTTTTTTTCTTTCTTCATTTTTGAGACAAGATCTTGCTATGTAGCACAGGCTAGTCTTAAACATGAAATCCTCCTGCCTCGTCCTCTCAATTGCTAGGATTACAGGCCTGTGCCACCATACCCAGCTAATAACTCTATCTCTGTAATTCCATCTTATGCAAAAAAGGCATATCATGCACAATCACTATCTTAGCATTTCAATTTTTAAACATTTAATTCTTGGGCTGGGGGGTATGGCTCAAGTGGTAGTATACCTGCCTAGGAAATGCAAGACCCTGAGTTCAACCCCTATACCACCACAAAAAAAAAAAAATAGATTAACTCGTTTCTGTTCCCAAAATTGTAAACACATATTACTGTTGTCGCATGTTATTACTGCACCCGGTAACAAGGTTCTAAAGCAGTAAAACTGAAATTTGGTCTCAGATGGTCCTAAACACCTTGAGATAAGAAATGAAATACAAATATATGCCACTTTATCTCAATAGGCCTTACTTTCCTTATGTAGAAGACAGAAAGGTTGTCATGCATGGCAGACCTATAATCCTAGCAACTGGGAGGATTAAGCAGGAGGATAGTGAGCTCGAAACTGGCCTGGGCAACAAAGTAAGTTTGAGGCCACCCTAATCTATGTAGTGAGACCCTGTCTCGAAAACAAACAGCAGGGTACCAGTGGCTCACGCCTGTAATCCTAGCTACTCAGGAAGCAGAGATCAGGAGGATCACTATTTGAAACCAGCCAGGGCAAATACTTCGAGACCCTATCTCGAAAATACCCAACACACACACAAAAAAAAGGGCTAGCAGAGTGGCTCAGGTGGTAGAGCACGTGCCTAGCAAGCATGAAGCCCTGAGTTCAAACCACAGTACAGCAAAAAAAAAAAAAAAAAATTCAACATTAACAATTTCCTCCCCAGGCATGGTAGCACACACTTGTAATCCTAGCACTCAGGACACAGCAGGATCACAAGTTCAAGGCCAGCCTGGGTTATAGAGAGAGACTCTGTCTCAAAAAAATTAATTAAAAAAATTTTTTTAATTTCTCTTCTTGGAGCTTAGCATTTGCCTAGCATGTACAAGGCCTGGGTTGAATCCCCAGTACTGCCAAAAAAAAAAAAAAAAATCCTCTTGTATAAGAGATGTAATTTTAGTATATGTGAATTCAGATAATGAAAACTTAACTCAGGATAAATGTGACATAACACATGCTTCAGAGAACAAAGAAGGGCACTAGTGGCTTCTTCCTATAATCCTAGCTACTTGGGAGGCTGAGATCAGGAGGATTCAGGTTTGAGGCCAGCATGGGCAAATAGTTCATGAGACACCCCCCCACTCCCCCATCTCCAAAATAACCAGAGCAAAATGGACTGGAGGAGTGGCTCAAGTGGTAGAGAGCCTTCTTTGCAAGCTGGAAGCCCTAAGCTCAAACCCCAGTCCCACCAAAAAAGAACAAAGAACTGGAGCCAACCCTACCATCTTATCACTGTGCTCCTCTAAGAAGAAAACCACAAAGAGGAAAAGCACCCAATAAATGACAAAAAAAAAAAAATTATATATATGCTATGGATCATCCTCTGCATGCTTACTAGCAAGACCAAGGGAACAGTCACATTTTTGTATAGAAAAACACCACTCATTTTAAAATATGAGCTACTTTTCTAGTGTAGGAACGAACTAACCAGGAGGTGGGATATAGCAAAGCATCCTCTCTCTCTATTCCATGAGTGCTGAATTCTAGAGACACCAATGACAACTCAGCCTATTCTGCCAGAGTGTGTGGCAAGACCGTCTGGACACCACATGTGGAAACAAAGCCTAAATTAAAGTTGTAGGGTTACACTCTGGCTTTTCATTTTAATGCTAAATGGTGAAACTTTCTTCATTGTAAACAAACTATGCCTTGTTCCACTGATCTAGTCTAAGTCTTAATTAGATTTTAAGAACTGAATCAAGACATTTTAGGACTATGATTTTCTATCCTTGTTTGCTATTTGTGAGGAATGACAGAATTAAATCTTCCTTGGACCATATTGTGACTATGTGATCTTAGCTCTAACCATTCTGGAAACAGGGTCAAGTTGGGAACTACAAGTAAGTAAAATCTGACTTTAAAAAAAAATTCTAGTTGGGTGCTGGTGGCTCACACCTGTAATCCTAGCTACTCAGGAGGCAGAGATCAGGAGGATCTCAGTTCAAAGCCAGCCAGGGCAAACAGTTCACAAGACCCTATCTCGAAAAATAAACATCACAAAAAGGGCTGGCAGATTGGCTCAAGGTGAAGGCTGAGTTCAAGCCCCAGTACTGGGGAAAAAAAAAAAAATTCTGGTAAGTTTTATTTCCAAATATTGGTTCAAATTCTGGTAAAAGGGGGGAAAAAAAAAGATGGATATAAAACTGAGGCAAAGAGGAACTGGTAGTGTAGTTCAGTGGTAGTGTATATTTAACTTGTAAAAGGTCCTGTTTACAATGCCCTGGCACCAAAAACAAACAAAACAAAAAACAAACAAAAACATGCCGGCAGGGAGCAACAAAAATCAGTAACAATCACATCCTCCAGTCTGTATTATTCCTATATTCTTGTACTCATGTAAAGAATCTGTCTTAAGTCTGAAAACCTAAAAAAAACTGCCATGAAACAAAAATGCTGCACCATTTCTATTCCAAAATAGAAGCCTCCTCTTTTCTCATATTTTAAATTAAATGAGGACACACATGAAAAATCACTAGGAAATAGTAAAGTTTTACAATTTTCAGCCATATATAAAAATGTCCCCCACTGCACAGACTGACAAAACAGGGTTTGAAATAATTTCATACCAGTTAAATTCCTTTCTAAACTAAAGCATAAAATGGGAAATCTGGAAATACTAATATCAAGACTCAACTGACATAAAAAACATTTACAATGTTTTACTTTCTAGACTAGTATGGCTTTAGTAAGTTTATGCCTATCCATCAAAAAGTCCAAAGAAAGTTCAAAATATGCTCCTATTACACTTGCTGTTTCAGATGTGAGGCTCATTACTCACAATGCAGAGCTACACATTAGTATTTAGATGTCAGAAGTCTAGCATAATCTAAATAAAGCGCTCAAAATTAAGGTATCAAAAACTGATCAACTTTCTCAGAAGTCTTCTCAAGTTGATTTTTAAAAATAATATGTGGGGGGAAACCTGGTGACAAGTTTTATGTTCTGTGTATTACCACAAGCTGACTTGACCTACAAAATAAAGATAGGGTCAACTGTAACCAAAAAACAGTATGCTTCCCCTGGTGGTCAACTCAGGAATGGAAGAGCCCTGCACAGAAGAGGAAAAAGCCTGGCCTCCTGGTTCTATCCTGTCACTCACAAATGAGAACTCACTCAGAAAAGGACGACGTGGGGGAGAGAAGGACGATCAAAACACTAAAATGGGTTTAAAAGGAATACAAATCTGGGGGTTAGGCTACATAAATGCAAGACACTGAAGTCAACAAAACTAAACTCAGAAGACACATTTTGGAAGCCATTTACTTCCAGAGTGCCCAAGAGCTCACGGGGGTGGGGGGGGGGTGATATTTCTCTGCATTTTCACTTCTAAGTACACCCAGACTTTACTACTTTCATAACAACTTAAGAGCAAACGCCTTTTTCAAGGACTAGACCCTTGCAATTTTCTACAGTCTTGTTCCGAGGAAAAGCATTTGTTTTTCAAACAACCTGGTGGTATAACCTACTGAAGGTTCTCCTCCAGCTCTGAAGCCCTCCAACAAGGGCTGTTCACTTTAGCTGGACAAGACTCCCTTTTGAAATTTCTCTGTGAAACAAAACCCATGTCTTTTCAAACATTTTTTTACAACAACCACCACCTTTAAAAAGTCTCATACATAGACGGGCTAGAATCTTAAGCGTTAAAATCCGGCGAATTCCTTTGTCTGATTGGATTTTTTCCCCCCTTGTACCACTTTAAATTTGCTTCCACGCAGCACAGCAGCAAGACAAGTAAACGCTCCATTCTCTGGTATAGGGATTTCTGGTACATGAAGATCATTGGTTAGCAAAAGCTTCTCTGATGGTTCTATTCTTTCACAATCTCTCTCCCCACAACCCACCAAAAAAAAAAAAAGAAATGCACACACACGTTTACAAATAGGTCCTAAAATCAAGCTGCCACACGCGAGCCTCTCTCACCCAGGTGGGCGCCCTCTGGAAAGCACGCTTCTTTTATTGCCTTTTTTTTTGTTTGTTTGTTTTTGTTTTTGTTTTTTTATTTTGGGGGGGGTGATTCTGCTCGCCCTGAGAACCGGAGTAGGGAGCCAGAGACGGCGCGGGGCCACCGGGGCAGCGGTTCTGAAGGAGGGGTCTGCACGGAGTCCTCGCCCGGGCACTCCGGGACACAACTCTCCAGCACTGCCACCCCCACCCCCCTGCCCCAGGCCCAGGGCCCCAACCCAGGCTCAGCTCACCTGGTCACGGGGACCCCCAGCTCCCCCTGGCCAGGTGTGACTGCCCCCAATGCTTGGGGGGGGGTGCGCACCGGTCCCGCAGCCTCCCCGCGCCGAGGATCTGCAGCACATGCGTGTGCGCGACCAGGCGGCCCCCTTCGCCCCGCGTGCCCCCGAGGACAGCGGGGCCAACACGCACAAAAAGAAAGTTGTCGCCGGACTCCCGCCGTTCCGGGCCCGCCGGCCGGGAGCTACTCACCGGGGTCGAAGTCGGGCACCGCTGCCTGGTACTGGGGTCCGACCCGCATGCCGCCGCCACCTGCGGGGAAACAGAGCACGGCGGTCAGCGCGAGCGCGAGCGCGGGCGCGGGCCGGGCGCGGGGGTGGCTGCCACCTACCGTGCTCTTCGTCGCTGGACGAGCCCGAGCTGCCTTCCTCCCAGGAGTTGCTGCCGCTGTTGCCATTGGGTGCCGCCGCCAAACTTTTATTCTGGCCATTATTGGGGGCGGCGGCGGCCGAGGCGGCGGCGGCCGAGGAGGAGGCGGTGGCGGCCGAGGCGGCGACTGAGGCGGCGGCCGAGGCGGAGGCGGCCGAGGCGGCGGCCGAGGCAGAGGCGGCCGCGGTGTTCCTCCCCCGCCGCTTCCCTGAGACCTCGGGGCCCTTCTCCACCATGGCCGGCATCGGCGGGGCCCGGGGCCTGGCCAAAGTGACGGGGACCCCGGCTCTCGAGGCGCGGGCGCCGGGCCGCGGGCAAGGGGCAGGGAGCGCGGGAGGGTGCGGGGCCGGGCGGACGCGCGAGAGCGCACCGGCGCGAGTTAGGGATGGAGGAGGCCCAGACCGGTGGTGGAGCGCCGAGCCGCCTCAAGCCCCCGGCGCCGAACCAAGCGCAACTTTGGCTCTCATCGCCGCCCGCACTTCGCTGGCTCTAACTACTCCGTGAGCGGCGGGCGGGGGGAGGGGCGGGGCCTGGGCGGCGGGGGAGGGCTGCGCGCAACCTAACTGCCGCGCGACGGCTCCGCCCCCCAAGCTCCCATTGGCTCTCGTGGGATTTGGACGGCAAACCCTAGCTGGGTTGGCTGCTACGCGCGTCCATCACCGGATGGAGGCGGGATTGGTGGGAGGGAGGAGGCTCCGCGCTTCCGTTGACCAGGTTGGGTTGACGCGTATCGCCCACTGTACGTGGTTTGAGGTTTGCAATCGCTCTACGCCCCATGATCCATCTCTCGAGGCAACAGCGAGGAGTTAGCCGCCCTCCTCGTCCCCTTCCCCTCCCCCTGCTCCGGCCCCTCCTACCGCACGCACCCCGCAGCCCGGGTCCCTGTCCCCCAGGGACCCCACACAGAGTCCCGTCGGCTTCCCAAAGTAAATGTGCACGACGGAAGAACAGATATTGCTGGCAGAGAGTCGGGACTACTTTCCCCCTCGCGCGGAGGAGTACATTCACAGTTTGAATGGGTTCTATACAAAGACGGGAAACTAATTGGGAGAAACTAATTGCGCCCCCACCTTTCCCAAAAGGTTTGGGGCCCAGGAGCCCTTGATACCCGGGGATGAAGCTCCCAGGTGACGGCGTCCCTGGGGGGAAAGCAAGCGATTGGGCTCGGGGTCCGAGGCATTCTCCGCTAATTGAATGGGGGGGTGGCCAGGTCCCCGCTTCGCCCAAGGGGGAGCCGGCGGGGCGGCCTGGTACGTCCTGGAGGGCCGCTGGGATGCGGGGGACGGGAGAGGGGGCCGAGTGGCCGGGAGCCGCAGGAGGGACTTAGAGAAACTGGCTGGGGGTTGTCAGGGGTAGAAAGCAGGGTCAGCTTCCCCTGGCCACCGCTCGGGACCTGCAGCCTACCCTGCTACCAACCACACTTGGCCAGCACCCCGCGGACAGAACGGGTGAGGGTCGGTGAGACTCAGCCTGGGGCGTCCGGGCCCCGAGAGTGACCAGCGGCGACCCTGGACTGTCTGATGGCCCTGTGGGGCCGGGTCGGGACTGCCCCACCCCCTCCCCAACGGTGCTGTACCTAATGAGACTAAAAGACTATATGTAAAATCGGTTCTCTTTTTTTTTTTAACAAGCAGAGGGTGGCTATTTTTTATTGAAGTTACTTCAAGCCTGAGCTTAATGTGGGGACAGTTTACGCCCGCTCGGGTTATAAATAGCTACTTGGAGAAACCGGGAATTTTATGGTTTAAAAACCTGAATAAATAAGCAGGGCTTTCTCTTCCACATTTTCTACATTATTAACTTCACTTCTAAGTGGCCTTTTAAGGAACAGGGCTTGGGGGCGGATGCACCCCTGTAATCGCCGAATATGGAGGCTGAGGCAGGAAGATCTCAAGGTCCAGGCCGTCCTGGGTAACACAGTAAGTTCCCTGCCCGTCTGGGCTGTTTATGTAGCGAGACCTGTCTCAAAAAAAAGAAAGAAAAAGGGAGGGAGGAAAATAGGAAGAAACATAGAAGGAGGGAGGGAGGAAAGTCAGTAACCACTCTTGGTCGACTCCAAAGGATGCCCCTCTCAGGAATAAAGTATTCCTGGGCAGATGGCAGAGGAGTAGGAACCAGGGGCAGCATCCCTGGGGCAGGCACCTGGCAAAGGCTGACTCATGCAGAGGCAAAGAGCATTCTGCCCTGCTCCATCCTGTCCACTGGGATCTACTTTATGTACCACAGACTCTAGGAAAATTAACCTCCAAGGGCACAAAGGTGCCATTGAATTACTTATTAGGGCAGCAGTGGTGGCATGACACACTGGGGCACACCTCCCAGACCCCCAAGCTTGAGGCCACTTCCTGGAAAGTGCTCTAAGGAGCAAGAGAGCCTTAGAGCCTCCAGGGCAGGATCTGACCTGGGTGAGGCAAACCAGGTGCCAAGGGCTCTCAGCTTCCATGGTGCACCCACAGCACCTGGTCTGTCTCACCCTAGACTGGGCCTTGCTCCAGGGAGCCCTCCCCCACCCTGCCAGGCAGTAAAAAATGGAGAGTCAGTTTGGGTTGGGGAGAAATAAGCTGAGACCTGATAGGTTCATTTGAACTCTCCCCCTACTGCCTTCCTCACCCCATAACCCAGGCCTGAAATCCTAGCTAGGTTATGACTTAGGGGGCCTCATTAGCCCTTTCACTTGTTCTGGGCACTTCACAGGGGCCAGACCCTACTCCAGTTTGACTCCAAGCCACATAGAAACCATATTGGGGAATGGGGGCATGCTTCAAGTGGTAGAGTGCTTGCCTAGGAAGGCTAAGGCCCTGATTTCAAACCCCTATACCATACACACACACCAAAAATAAATAAGGAAAGGAAGAAAGAAACCATATTGGCCTGCAACTACTCAACTTCCTCATCCATAAAATGCTGGTAAGGGCACTTACTTCCTGGCCTGGTGATTTTTTATAGGGGCCATCTCCCCAGCCCTAAGCTCCCTCCCTCCACCATAAAGAACCCTAACCCAAAGGACCCCTTTTTCCTATTGCTCTTGTGGAGTGGAAGCAGGGTCCACACACAAGTTTTTGGTGGGGAATCTGTGGCTGAAACTGAAAGTTAAGATTTCACCCTTTCACCCCTTCACCCCTCACCTTACACCTCCCACAGCCTCTTCTGCCCAAACTCCAAGCCCATGACCTTGCCTGGTTCCTCAGTGAGAAAAGCTGAAGCCATCTAGTGGAATCACTCCTCTTTAAGTCTACAAACTGACAAAACTCCCTGCCCAGCACGTCCTCTTCAGGCCCTCCTAGCCCCTGGTGCCCTTCTGGGGCTGACCTCAGTGCCATCAGCCTACTCTGGCTTGCCATGGGCCAGTATTTTCAAAATGAAGGGAGAATCACTCCCAAGCCACCTCTGGCCTTGGTTCCATCTGTCTGCTCCCCTGGCAGACACACTCCTCCAGAACTAGTCTACACTTGCCTTCTCCACTCCCATCCCTGTCTCTCTTCACCTCACCCAGCAGGGCTGTGTCCCTACCCTGTGCCTCTTGCTAAGGCCACGCCCACCCTCTCTGCTGCCCAGTCCAGTGGTCAGTTCTTGGTCACACTGAGCCTCCTAGCAGCACCTGAGCTGACCACCCCTCACAGAAACTGACTCCCTTCTCTGGACTCTCTCAGTCTCCTTTGCAGTTGCCACCCCCTCCTTCCAACCTGTAATTGCTGGGGTTCCTGCTCAAGCCCTTTCCCCCTCACGCTGTGCTTAAGCACACTAGGCATTCATTAAACATTGTTAAAGTATGAATGGACGGATTGATAGATGATAGGGAATACACCTTGTTACGGGTACACAGAGCATGAACCAACGGGCGGAGGGGGGAGAGGGGCTGGTCCCCTTGAACAGTGAGGTCGCTGAGACCTGGACTATGTTGTATGGGGAAGACCTCATACTTTGACAATTCAGCAGCATCCTCCAGAAACTAACCCCACCAACCACACCCCCCTCAAAAAATATCCTCCTCCTGGACTCCTCATCCTGACCAGCAGATGACCCAGCACTGATCAATCAGAGCTCCCAGTACCATCTGCAGTGATTGGCTTAGGTATGAGCATATGACCTAGCCAGACCAATCAAGGCCCCATCTGGAACTTTTTCTTTTTTAAGTACTGGGGCTTGAACTCAGGACCTACACCTTAAGCCACTCCTCCAGCCCTTTTTTTGTGATGGGTTTTTTTCAAGATAGGGTCTCCTGAACTATTTACCTTGGCTAGCTTGAAACCAAGATCCTCCTGATCTCTGCCTCTTGAGTAGCTAGGATTACAGGAGTGAGCCACCAGTGCCAGACCCATCTGGAACTTTTGCTGAACCTGAGGAAATCACCTCTTCCCTTCTGAGATCAGGATCTGAGGGAGCAGGAGAGACTAGAGACTCCAGGACAAGGCCTGACCAAAGTGAAGCAAGCCAGGTACGCAGGGCTTTGTTTTATGCAACACCTGAGAAAAAGGCTCCTTCATTCTTTCTCCCAGCAGGGCACCTGGGCTGCCTCACCCTAAGGTGGGCCCTGCTCCAGGGAACCCTCCTCTATCCCACCAGGCAGTAAAAATGAAGGCTCACATTGGGAAGAGGAAGGCTGAGACCTGATAGATTCATTTGAACTCTCCCTATTGCCTTCCTTATCCCATAAATCAGGCCTGAAATCTTGGCCTTTAAATGGATCGATTCGCGTTTCTGGTACAACTCAGTCCTGAATGATACAAATGGCCAGGCGTTTACCTGGTATGGGAGAGGAAAAGAGCATGCTGGCAAGAGATAGCATTTCCCCCATCTGGAAAAGGCCTAAGAGCAAGTATCTTGACTGTTTACCTGGTTCTGCCTTTAGCATTGATTAGTAAAAGCGTCCTTTTAATTATCACCTTAGTAAATACAATTATGCCCTCATCCCTGCCTTCTAGATAGGAAACTGAGGCACCTAGAGGTGAAGTGATCTGCCTGGAGTCATCTGGAGTAGAGCAGCAAGGGACTTGTAAGCCACACATTTGTGGAGCCTCCTGCTCAACCCAGAGCCAGTCCCAGGAATGCAGAGGGAGGGAGGGATGTGAGCAGCAAGGATGTGTGCTAAATGCCTTGTCTGATTCCAAACATGGCGTTGAGTATTTGTGTTGCTGCTGCTTATTGTTCTTATTAGATGGCTAGTTAGAAAATTCTGCTTGGAGGCACCAGAGATCAGGGCTGGGGGCCGCAGGCAAAAGGAGCCTTAAGGCCAGTCCTGGGAGGGGTCAAGGCCCCCAAAAAATGTTCAGAAAGTGAGATTTCAGGAATTGTAGTTATCCCAGCAGTTTTAAATCTAAAATCAGAATAAAATTAAGGGAACCATAAACTGGGAGGGTAATTGCAGCTTTCTTTACATTAACCTTTAACTGCAGTCTAGCATTTCCTTCAGTTATGGATGTAGGTGGTATTACCAGTGCCTACGACACTGTCGCCTATGATACTGTCCCCTCACATTACAGTGGGGACATCTCAG